TGGACTACAGTCTGTAACTGTAGAACTACAAAGTGCACCTATATAGTAAGTGGAGCTGATAAAATGGACAATGAGCGTAGAAACAAGGAGGTGGTCAGAATGCGATGCCTGGTCGGTGTGTATAGACAGGTCTTCTGCTTTTACTCGAAGTATCCCTACTTTCACTCAAGCACAGGATTTGTGTACTGTATCCACCACTGAGAACCTTACATATTTGCATGTGACCAAGAGAGAAAACTAGCATGTATTGATTTTCACTACATGCGACCGAAAGCTCACCTCTCTCTTTCTGTTTCTCAAACACAGACTCACTCACTGCCTCTCAGGACCACTTCACTGCACCGACTGGCACGACACATATGAACGAAACAGGGCAGGAAATGCAGAGTCATATTTTCCAAAACCCACCCACCCACACACATGCATACACACACACACGCATACACACACACGCATACACATACACGCATACACATACACGCACGCGCGCAAACACACACAGACACCAAGCCTCATCGTGCAGACAAACTCGACCACAGCTCCAAACACACATACTTTTCCAGAGTCGTGAACTCGCATCTGTTTCCTGAACAACAATAATAGTTACTCTTCGGTTAAGGGGGCACACGAGCAGGTGTTTGCTAATGCACTCGGCAGCCTCGCAGAACAAACCGGAGGTTCCTCCACAACAAACAAGCCACAGTGACATGCAAAAACACTTCACACGACAAGATTTAGAAACCATGAACCTGTACGTTGACTAAAGCCTCCATTCTCATTCTGACCCGTTTTGAAATGAATCAGAAAGGCTCTGGTTCTTAGTCGGCTGCATCCCCAACACCTGCAGCAGCGTCTAATTATAAAGAGTGAAGTCTCACTGTAGCTGTGTGTTGGTGACATCCTAAGCACAGTGCCCCTCATTGTGTTCATTAGGGGTGGCCAAAAACTAATACGTTATTGTCATTGTGATAAATGATGCTATAATATGCCTTCCTGAGTACATGATAGGTATCATAAGTACTTCTATACAACTTAACCAGGCAGTGCAATAGTGCGGATCTTATTATTGTAATTTCCACTGCTGAAGTGGACCGAATTTTGGTACACCTCTTGCTGGGGTACCAAGTGTATGGGTGGAGCTAGAACTAATGCAGACCATTGTTTGGTCAGTTGCAACCTTCGCAGAATCGTCGAACCAACACTAGCTAGCCAGAATTGTCGTCGGTGACCCTTCAGAAATGCAGGGTAGAAGCTAAATCAGAACTCGAAGCTGCTGCTGTTGTTTGTGTTTACTGTTAACACAAGTGATAAATCATGTGACCACCACAGAACCTCCAGAGAACCTCACCTACATTTGCGCTTCTGTTGTGCGATGGGAAACACGGGTACAGGTTCAGATTAGTTACTATATGGCCTGGTGGGAAGAACGATTTTTAGACTGATTATACAGAGCCTGTAAACAACAACATCTGTGTAGTATAAACTACATGGTAACAAGTAGCTGATTGGGTAGCAGCTCATTATGATTAGATTTACCAATTATTGGATTTTTAAATGGTTTAGTTTTGTTTCGTATTGTTTTTCATAGCCTTTTAAAGTGTACTCAGGGGTTAGGGCTGAACAATCTGGGGACACATTTTGTGAATTGTGATTTTTCTGACCAATATTATGACTGCAATTTAAATTGCCATTATAGAAAATGGGGTCTAAGCCTGTTTTTTTGACCATAAAGACCAGCATATCCACCTTTCCTGGCTGTCCCAGACTGCCCATTAGTTGTGAAGTCACAGCACATGAGTGTGTGGCTGTTTCAGATTGGTCAAACTCCTCTACAGGCAGTTCACAGGCTCCATGTTAATAGGCAAAATCATCTAAAATTTATGACTTAATTTAAGTTGATAATGTGCGCTGTGGTAAAAACTATAGTTCTTGTATGAAAATCGCACTTTTTCAAAGACGAAAAAAGATGAAATGATCATATTTCATTATATTGAATCGATTATAATGAGCTTTCAGCCCTACCCTGGCTACATTTCAAAAATGCAGCGCCTGTGGCCTGAGTGGCCCCTTGCCTTGGAGATTTCCTTGTGTTTTTTCCATAGTGACAAAACACCAGACCAGTTGAATTTCCGCATGTTCACAAATGAACCATTAAAAACAAAACAACCAATTTTTACCCTCCAGCACCAGATCCAGAGGCTTTTAATCAGACACAGAACGGCATCGAATCAGATTTTGTTGAAATTCGCCAACTGTAACCACTGCAAGAGTTAACATAACAGCATTGTTCTGATTACTGTAAAGTTTTACATTTTTCCTCCTTATTTGACTGATTTTTGGTACTGAAGCATGTTTGTTGATTGTAAATACTAGTTTGAGCACCCTGGTCAAACGGCATGTTTTACTGATTCTTTTAGGTTAAAATAAGTCAACACATCCTCTACTGAGAACAAATCTATGCACATTTTAAATGCACAATTACTGTTGCTGAATTTAACGTAAAACATAAAATGTGGCCCGTGCAAAAGTTACGGCACGTTTTACTTTTTTTTTTCAATGTTAAACTTTTAGAAGTAGAAATTGTGCAGAAAAAAAGTTTGTTCTTTGTAGAGGAACTTAGAGAATCAACAAAGCGCAACATTTCACCAGGGGTGTTCAAACTTTTGCATACGGCTATATATACAGTAGAGATGTTTCTATACATTTGGCCATACGATTCATTGGCTTGGTGGCCCAAGTTGCCAATGCCAATCTAATAAATCGTAATGTGCTGTTTACATGACCATTTAAATAATCAGATAACTGCAGATGTAAACACACTCACTGTTTTGCACATTTTAATTTGTTTGATACTAAGTATCACAATAGAAATCATGAATTGTGAAAATGTGATCTGGTAGTTTGACTTTTTTGCCATGTGGTCCACTCTTAGCCCTCCCTGCACTGGCCGGTAGCTGCACAAATTGTAGGCTTTGAAACTGTGAAAATGAAATTAACACCTGTCCAAAACCTAGTTGGCCTTCTCTGATCCACGGTGCAGTCGTGGTTTTGGCGGTGATCGTTGATAATGACATCATAAACGTTCACAAAACTCTATTGTGAGCACATTCCTGTAGGCAGGCCTGTAAAGAGCAGTGTGAATGTTCAAATTGTGACAGGGAGGTTTTAGTGCTGCATCAGGTGTGCACTCTCACCACACACACACAACTGTACAAACATCCGGTGGTGAATGAGGGACGAGGTGAGACTTGTCAGAGGTGTGTGAGAGCGTGTGTGGTTAAGGTAGATAGTGTCTAAAATCTTAACCGCATGCTTCAGCTTCAAATACTCGCAGGCACTCGCTCCCAGTCTACCCTTTCCTCCCACACATTCTCTAACTGCCATTTATTCACCAGCACAAAGGCTGCACCATACAGACGTAACATGCATTATTGTTTTTTGTTCTGTTTCGTTCCATTCAGCTCAAGCATTTGTTCTGCTGTTTGTTGTATTAATATCTGTGGTATTGTTGAGTACCAAACGATCTGCTGCAGAAGTCGACATCTGCGGAAGTAAATAAGCAGATAAACATCTCAACAAAAGCTCATCCATGCCATTTTCACTCGATTCACTTCACAGTTCAATTTGCACATGCAGAAGCTGTTCATTCAGACCGAAACCTTTTTTATGACTGTTGCTATGGGTGGGCGATACAGCTAGAATATAAGATCATGATACTTCAGTTTTCACGATACACAATATTTATTTTTTCTGATGTTTGGTAAGTTAGAACAGACAGAACAGATAGTGCAAAAACAAAACTAAATATAAATAAATAGTTTCATTCAACATTTTGCATACGTCACTACACTAAATCCAATTTAATTGGACTAAATATGCTTAGAAAAGCATCACAAAAACCATACATATCATCATGTCGCCCATCCCAACTGACACACCGCACAATTAAACCCAACACCTGTATGAAAGCACTCTGACAAAAGGTTTATTGAGGTCTTATACATACAAAGGGACCATTGAGCACGGAGGTAAAACTGCCTCTACAGTACTGCTCTGATGTAATGCAGGAACAAGTACAAAACGGACTGCAACACGCCTGAAAGGATATCAAACATTTCAACTGGAGGAGAAAAAAGAGATATAAAACACCACACAATAAATAAACAATATGAATAAATAAATAAATAAATGCAGTGACTTTCAGTGAAGATCCTGTGAACTCTTTGCTTTTGATAACCAGCAATTCCACACATTTTTTCAAAATTTCTGCATAATTAAATTGATAAGGCCTTCCGCCCAATGACAGCTGGGATAGGCTCCAGCACCCCACCGCGACCCAGAAGGATAAGCGGTTTAGATGATGTATGTATGTACGTATGTAAATTGATAAGATGTAAAGAAAATCATTCAGAGTTTGATGTGAAATGCTCCTTTTCAGAGAATTCTACCAAGTCATCGGTGATAAGAACCAGATGTCTGAAGCGTTTTATGGCACCAAAAGCTCCCAAGCAGAAAGCTATTACATGAAATGGTAAACAGAATCCAGACAATATGACAGTGTTGAGATAGGGTTTTGGTGTGAAACCTATCTTTGAGAATCCATTCATAGTGGAGGGATACATGCAAGCAATCTAAGACAAAATCTAAAAAAAATTACTGATTTTCCACTATTTTACCATCAACAACATTACATGTCGCTGCTGTCAGAAGAAAACCTTGTATCTCCATTTTTGTCATTTTTCAGTTTTTGACATAATTTGAAAATGCCTGTTGCTCTTTACATTGTATGTAAATTTCATGAAGAACGGACCAAAACAAACGGCCCAAAATGACTTGGAAAAAAGTCTGGTTCCATTGACTTACATTAAAAGTAAAGTATGTTTTTTCCTTCTCCTGTAAAGTTACCATTTTGGAGATACGAGGTTTTCTTTCGACAACAGCGATATACAAGCTTGCATAGGCTCACTGGTGGTTTTGGATAGTAAATGAAATGTCTATATTTGTGTTGTTGTCATGGCGACCCCTGGTTCCTATCAGCACCACTGTAAAGAAATCTGAGTCTCTACAATCAGCCATTCCACACCAAACCACTCTGAATAGCATGTCAATGACTGAACTGTGCAGAAACGGTTAAAAATCGATGGAATTCCCCTTCAATTACCGGTTATCACTCTTGCACTGTATTAGTTGGGCCTTTATCATGAATACTTCATAGTGAAACCTTAAAACAGTAAGCTTCAAAATGCCTTTATCGTGTTTCAAAATGTCTATCACACAGTCTCCTAGCCCCCCTCGTCTCAGGGAGATGTTCTATGAAGGTGTATTTTGCGTGACCAAGCCAGGAACGTAGCACTGAAGCATTGAAAATTAGTTTAAAGATTGCTCACTAACCAATCCATCTACCTTGGTAAAACCCCGTGCTCTTTGAGCTCCTTTACTCACCCAAACCCACTGAAAACCCACCGCAGTGCTCGCTGCCCCTAGTCTGTGAGCTAATTCTCCATTTTTAAAAATGAAACTGCAGACGACTAAATATAGCAACTCAGTCAGCGCTGCGCCACGTCCGCCTTCTTCAAGAAGACAATACAATTCCATTGTTTTTACTGGATTTTGGAAATAATCTTAGTAACATCCCAAAGTATGCGCTTATTGTATAATTTCAGACAAATATTGTAGTTACGGTAAACAACTCCCTTCCATTACAATCACGCTCACAAGTCTTTAACAAACACTTTAGTCACTGGGAACCCAAGCCAGCCTTTCTCTGGCTCTTCGTAATCATCCTCCTCCTCCTCCTCATCTTGAACTCCAGCCGTCTCGCCTTGTAGCCGGTAGCCCAGTTTCCTGAAAAATGCCTCACCGACTTTGGAGGGGAAGGGTACGTGAGCGTAAACCCTGGCGATGCCACTCTGCCTGGCTTTGGCCTCCAGGCTTTGGACCAGCAGCCTTCCAAGACCTTCTCTTTTGTACCAGCTCTGCACCACCAGCCTGCATATGCGATAAACCCCATCCCGGCTCCAGCCGTCACGGGCCACGCAGCCTAGCACTTCACCCTCACAGTCTGCAACCCACACCTCCCCTGCCACCCGGGCCCTCTCCTTCAAGTCATCTTCATCCACCTTCTCCTCCTTCGTCTTCCCTCTCTCTAGCTCTTTGGCCTTCTTGCGACGTTTGGCCTTGTCCTGGTTGGTGAGTAGCTTGGCTTTGGCGGCATGTGGGTTGGGCAGATCCGGCTCAGAACCGGCATGATAACAGCTGCCCAAGTAGTCCCAGAACGGCCTGGTGGAGCCTAGGATGCCCGTGGAGCGCGGGATGGTGAGCTTGAGGTAGACGATGCAAAGGAAGACAGGGATTAGCAGGGCCACGATGAAAGAGTGCACCAAGAAGCGGAGAACGGAGGACAACGTGGCCAGCATGAGCAGTGCCAGCGGACGAGTGAGGAGGTGAAGGATGAGGCGGTTCTCTGTCCCTTCGCATCCCTCCTGTAAAGACAGAAAACACAGTGGAAGCAGGGGATGAGTAAAGAAAGAGTGGCAGTGAGGGAAGCAGTGAGGTGGAAAAGAGAAGGAAGAAATAAACATATAAAGACCAGGCAGGCAGACTCAGCGTTCTACCACTGGCAGTTGGCTTTACAATGTTTCAGCACAAGAACCGCCAGGGCACACGAAAACAGTGAGTGGGAGGAGAACATGCAGGAACAGTGTACACGGGGGTTAGAACATTCTAGAACAGTGTGAAAGGGGAGTACATTCAGGAATAGTGTACATGGGGGTTAGAACATTCTAGAACAGTGTGAATGGGGAGTACATTCAGGAATAGTGTACATGGGGAGAACTTCCTAGAACAGTGCATGGAGGAGAACATTCTAGAACAGTGTGCTTGTGGGGAACATTCAAGGACAGTGTGAATGTGGAGGACATTGTAAGGGGGAGAACATCCAGGAACAGTGTGAATGGGGGAGAACATTCTAGAACAGTGTGAATGGGGGAGAACATATAGAAACTGAATGAGGAAAGCATTCAGGAGCAGCGTGAATGGAGAGAATATTCTATAACCGTGTGCATGGGGAGAACATTCTAGAACACTGTGTATGGGGGAGAACATTCAAGAACTGTGAATGGAGGGTAAGCATTCAGGAACAGTGTAGATAGGAGGCCAACGTTCAGGAACAGTGTGCATGGAGAGAACATTCAGGAACAGTGTGCATGTGGGAGAACATTCAGGAACAGTGTGCATGTGGGAGAACATTCTAGAACACTGTGTATGGGGGAGAACATTCAGTGCAGTGTGAATGGGGGAGAATATACAGAGACTGAATGAGAACATTCTAGAACAGAGAAAGGAGACAATATTCTAGAACAGTGTGCATGTGGGAGAACACTCAGGAACAGTGTGCATGTAGAGAACACTGAGAGGTGGAGAACATTCAGAAACAGAAGGGGAGAACATTCAGGAACAGTGTGAATGGGGAGAACATTCAAAAACACTGAATGGGGGAGAACATTCTAGAACAGTGCATGGGGTGAACACTCAGGAACAGTGTGCATGAGGAGAACATTCAAAAACACTGTGAATGAGGGGGCATTCTAGAACAGTGCATGGGGAGAACACTCAGGAACAGGGCGCATGTGGAGAACACTGTGAGATCGGGAGAACGTTCCAGAACAGTGTGCATGGGGACAACATTCAGGAACAGTGTGAATGGGGAGAACATACAGAAACTGTGCATGAGGAGAACACTCAGGAACGGTGTACACGGGGGAGAACATTCTAGAACAGCATGCATGGAAGGAAGAACTTTCTGTAACTATGTAAACAGGGGGCAGACCACTGTAAATATGTAAACGGGGTTGCAGAAGGAAGGCTGCACCTTTATGAGGGCCTTAACGGCCTCAACGTCCTCCTCCTTCATCCGCCTCAGCACTACATTTCCCAGGTCCAACCTCACCATCTTACCCTTTAACCTTTACGGCAGCTCAGCCGGTGGTCCTAAAGAGAGAGAGAGCAACTTTAAAGCCTCCTGAGGCCTCAGCAGTATTTAGGATGGACACTGTAGACCGTCCAGCTAGAATTAATAAAGCAAGTCTACTCAGCTGCCAGTCTGTGTTGCGTAGGCCACGCGCGTAAACACACATGCGGAGCTGGCAAATACTACAATTCCCATAATCACTCCTGAGTGATCGTCTGGAAGCACGTTAAACGTTTAATGAATGTCAACTGTTAGCTAAAAATCACGGACTATGATCGAGATATCATTAAGCCCACTAACACAGGGGGTTATCTTATAGACCCAGTTGCTGGTGGGGGGTCGCAGAAGACCCTTAAATCATGCAGTCCCTCGAATACTTGTTCGAATTTTCCGGTCCACCTTAAACGGCGCAGCAGCTCCATTCTGGCGCCTGTACAGGACTGAACGCTACTGCGGCACCATTTAAGGTGGACCGGAAAAATTCGGATAAGAAGCTATGAACGATGCGGGCTAACGTTACTATTCGCACCCTGCCTACTCCGAATGAGAGCCTTATATGGTAAAGGCCGCAGGGCTAAACCCGAATGCGCCGGAGCCGCCGTTTGACCTACTTACCTCACAACAAGACTCTGCAGGTCAAATAATTTCCAAACGTGCGTAAATGACCACAAGCGCTCATATCAGCCCGGTCTCGCAGCGTTTTCAGCGAGCCGCTGCGTGCTTAGCGCCGTCTGCCTGCGCACGCTGTCGGCCTATCCGCTTTCGTGAATACGGAACGAGCGCAAACGGCGAGAGCTCAGCCAAAGGGACTCGACGACCTCGCCGAAAATATTCATTTCTCCGCTCCAGGGCGTTTAGCCAGGGCCTGCAGGCCGGCCACAGCAAGTGCTTATCCTGGAACAACCTACATGTTACAGATACACCGTTAACAGGCGGATTATGAAAAATGTGTCTTTATTTAAGGCTAATGTGTGTTAATAAGGCCACAGATGGCCTTTGGTTGAAGGGCCGTTCTGCCATAAGACTACACTCCTAAAATGGTTCTCCAAGGGTTTTTTAGAGAAGGAAATAGTTCTGTACAGATATATGAGAACCACATGGTTCTTTGTAAGGTGAAATGGCTCTTTAGGTTGGAGAATGTGTTGTATATGGTTCTTCAAAGAACCCTTTTGAAAAGGGTTCTTCTGTTGTTACAAGCTTAGAGCAGAGTCCTTTTTGGTGCTGTATAGAACCATATACAACACATCAGATATCAGTCTAAAGAACCATTTGACCATGCAAAGAACAATTTAAACATGCAGATGGTTCTGTATAGAACTCATGAACCATCGCCTTTACTACAGAACCATCTTTTAACGTCATGTGTCGTTGTTTGTAGTGCTCTGTGGCGAATCACTGCATCCCTCAGGCTCATCGTTTTGATGATCAATGGTTTTGTATCATTTCTGTCCATCGGTGTTGCTGCTATCCTGCAGGTCGGCCACAGCAAGTGCATAACCTGGAACAACCTACATGTTACAGATACACCGTTAACAGGCGGATTATGAAGAATGTGTCTTTATTTAAGGCTAATGTGTGTTAATAAGGCCACAGAAGGCCTATGATTAAAGGGAGGTTCTGGTGTAAGACTACACTCTTTAAAAAATGGTTCTATTTGGAACTATGAGTTCTATACAGAACAATTTTCATGCTTAAATGGTTTTTTGCATGGTGAAATGCTTCTGTAGTGCACCAAAAAGGGTTCTTCTATTGTTACAAACTTGACATCGTAACCATAGCAGAACCCTTTTTGGTGCTTTACAGAACCATATACAGAATATTCTCCATCAATCTGAAGAACTATTTCACCATGCAAAGAAACCATCCATCCATCCATCCATCATCTAAACCGCTTATCCTTCCGGGTCGCGGTGGGGTGCTGGAGCCTATCCCAGCTATGCAAAGAAACCCCTGCTGAAAAAAAACCCATAGAAACCATTAATTGTTTCTGTTGGTTCCTGATGGTTTTGTAACGTGTTGTGGCTTTTTAAAGGGTTGAGGTGACTAATGGTTTAACAGGTGACCAATAACTGATTCTAAATGTATTTAATGGTTTTCTAATGGGATCTAAAAGGGTTCTACAGGAAACCAGTGTTCTCTTTTGTAAACCATTAAGCCAATTCCCATTAAGAAAGAAATCCTAATTGTTTTTAATGGTCCTTTATCAGCAGGGCCATTTAAGCATGTCAGTGGTTCTATACTGGAACCCATGGTTCTGTGAGTGTAGTATTTAACGTCATTTGTCGTTTTATGTCGCGTTCTGTGGCGAATCACTGCATCCCTCAGGCTCGTTGTTTTGATGATTCATGGTTTTGTATCATTTCCATCCATCAGTGTTTTCTCACTACAATACCCAGCATGCATTATGCAAATATATCACACAGCCATTGGGTATCCCCACTGCTTAGTGATATAGCACTGACCTCTGGTCATCAAATTTTTTACCCCCTTCATCCAAGGAACGATTTAACATTCAAGCTCACCCCCAAAGTACACACACACACACACACACACACACACACACACACACACACACACCTTATAAGTCGCTTATCCCTCTGGGTCGCAGGGGGAGCTGGAGCCCATCCCAGCAGTCATTGGGTGGAAGGCAGGATACACCCTGGACAGGTCACCAGTCCATCACAGGGCAGACAGACAGACACATAGATTCACACATACATTCACACCTAGGGGCAATTTAGCATGTCCAATTAGCCTGACTGCATGTCTTTGGACTGTGGAGGAAACTGGAGAACCCGAAGGAAACCCACACAGACAGGGGGAGAACATGCAAACTCACCCCCGAAGTATCCACCCCAAAAAGCATGTGTAGTCTTTCACAATTTACTTCTACCTTCAAGATGCATCATCAGACGGTGGCTTTCCTTGTCTTTAAACCAGGAAATCTCACTTTAAAGACTACTGTGGCACTTCTGTAAGAGTACTATGAGCATACATATTTACAAAATGATGCAGATACAGCAGCGATGGTTGAATTGTTGTTTTGGCCAGATGGTCGTTTGAAGAGAACTAAAATAACAATGACATTACCAACTGCTTTTTATTGAACATTACCATGTCCTAATATTAACAGTTATAGTGAAACCAAACAGTATAGACATATTCACAATTCATGTTCATCTTATACATCCACTGTCAACATGACAGCATATTGGTTCATAGTTTACATCCAACACTCTTCTGCTCAGCACGCACACCCTCTTCCTCTATAGCCTTCTCTTGCTCAGACAAACTTGTTTTCAGGAGGTTTGTATATGCTGTGTGTGGTTTGTGAAACAGCTCCCCGTAGGGGCCAGGTGAGCAACTGCCTCCTCACTGCAGGAAACGCAGTGCTCCACTTCACTGCCCAGAAAATCTGTAACAAAAACTCAAACGAGGACAACGGAAAGTTTCTCAAAAAGATCAACCATCGCACCACTATTTTAGCTAATTTTATCATGTGCTTCGCTTCCTGATGTAGCACTTTATTCATCCTCTTGATGGCTAAAAGGCTAAGCACCTAATACAGAGTGGCTGGATTAGGTTTAGTCACCTGAATCATGGTAGGCACCGCTAACCTTGGCCAAAACTGGACAATGTGTGCTAACAAAGGCGAGTGTCACTGGTTCAGTCAAGTGAAGTAGTGTGATTGTTAGTAGGACAAAGAGTGAGCAGAGATACGTGGGAGTTGAGAGTCCTTCCAAGCTCAGCCCTCAGCCCCGTGAACGCCAGCTGATGACAGTCTGCTCTCAGTTTCCAGAACCTTTTGCTCCTCGGGCGTCACTTCCTGTGCTGCGGTAACTTCTTTTTCCACATTCCTTAATCCTAAAGAAACCCCTCCCTCTGCTCCCTCTCTCAGACTGCTGGTACTGACTTCAATAATAACGATACCTTCTCCACCCTCTAACTGAAAGATGCCCTCCATTTGCCCTGCTCCTGTCCCTACGACTCCTCCAGGGTCAGCAAAACTGTCCCCAGCCTCTGAACTGCTGCCCTCACCTTCTATCAGTGCAATCATTTGAACGCTTTGTCCACTGCCTGTCCCCCCATCTATCTTAGCCTCGTTGGCCAGCTCAAACACAACCTCCTGCCCTCCGAGAGGCATCAAGGCCTGGGCAGGATGGCAAGAAAGGCCCAGGTTTTCATTCTGGCCTTCACTGTAGCTGGAGTTTGGCTGGACGTCATCATCGCACTGAGGCTCTGTTTGGAAGTGAAGGACAAAAGATTTCTCCTCCACCCCTCCCTCAAGCCCTCCCATTCTTTCGCATTCCCTCTCTCCACCCCATTCCTGAAGCAGGTTAAGAGAAACCATCCCGGCCTTCTCTTTCGCCCCATCTCCCTCGCTGTCTCCCTCCGCCTGAAACCGAAGAACATACGACTTTTCCCTTCCCTCTCCGCTCCCTCCTTCCTCTTGTTCCCCTTCTCCTTCAAACTGTAACACATAAGACCTCCCTCCCTCCACTCCTCCTTCCATCTCCACCTTGACCTCCATCCCTTCCCCCTGCTCTCTTGCTCCTGTCTCCTTCTCAAAACATAGAACAAAGTGCTCCCCAGAGAGTGTCTCTGGAAGCTTTTCTGCAGCAGGTGCACTCCGGGGGTCACCTGCCAGTGCACAGGGGCTATTAGTCGGGGCACTTTCTGTTGGGGTCATTGTAGTGACTGTGGCTGGGACAGAAGGCATGTCAGGCACTGGATCTGAATTCTGAGGTGGCACACATGTTGAAACCTGAACGTTAAGTTGCTGGGACAGATTTGCTGAAGTAACAGAAGCAGCAGTTGCAGTAGAAGTGGTGGATGGGGCTGATGCTTGAGTTGCTGGTGCAGGTGTTGTCTGTACCAGGGAACCAGATGCCTGGGCTTTGGCCTTGGGTTTGCGCCCACGTCTGGTTCTAGTGTTCCTGGTACGACCGAGCGTTCCTAAAATGGGTCTGCTAATGGTTGTTGTGTTTTGGGGTGGGGCAGTAATGAGGGGAGTGTTGTTATTATTTGTGAGAATGAACCTCTGCTGGGTCTGGAGTGGTTGGAACTGTGAGATTTGAGTTTGAGGTGGCGCCAGGACCTGGGGCAGCGCTGGTATGGTTTGTACCAATGGGAGGGACTGAGGCGCTGAGGGGGCAGGAAGGGTATTTGCGTTGGTTGCCGTAGGAACGAGGATGAGACTGGGCTGGTTTCCATTGGTAGACTGGCACTGAAGAAGCAAGAAGTTCTGGGATGGTGGCTGTATTGGTGGTGGAGGAGGAGGAGGTGGAGGAGGGGGTGGAGCTGGCTGTGTTGGCACAGGATTGGACAGCGGGATCAGCTGCAGGCCCATAGGTGTCTGGATCATGAAATAATTCTGCGAGGTGTTTGGCGGAATGTCCAGGTTCGATGGCGAGAGGATTAGCGTGGAATTCCCGTCGGTGGAAAACAGCGAGCTTAGCCCACCCGCCGCGTTCAAACTCAACGTGGTCGTCGTGGTTTCAGAAGCCCCACCCTTCCCCATGATCTTCCCTGCTTCTTTTACACACGTGGCTCCTGCCCCGCTGATGTGGGTCCGGAGGTGCCTTTGCAAGTAAGAGTGCATGACGAACTCCTTGCCGCAGTGCTGGCACTTGTAGTCCTTGCGAGAGGAGTGCGTGCGCAAGTGCAGCTGCAGGTTGGAGGAGTGCGTGAAGCTCTTGTGGCACTGCGCACACTGAAAGGGTCTCTCTCCAGAGTGCGTGCGCT